CCTCCGGCTGTCCTGGGGGTCCTGGCGCGCGCCCGGCTGGCGCGGGTCTGTGCCCTGCCTCACCCGGAGGGCTGGGAGCTCACGGGGACGCCCGGGCTGCTGGCCCTGCCTTTGCCCTCTCCTCCCGGGTCGGGCTTTCCTTCCTGCAGCCTGGGGCCCGCTCCCAGCCGCGGTGAAGTGCTTCCCCCTGCTGTATGCCAGGAGCTCCCGCTCTCCGCCGGGCACTGCTGCCCTGACGCTGCTGAGCCACCACGGACGGGCATCGCTGCAGCTGGCCGGCTGCATGTCCTGCATTTCCCTCCCTTTGGAGGGAGAAATGAGCCAGGACGTGGGTGGCTGACGCCTGCTCCTGGCACTTTGCAGTTGGGCTGCCTGGCGGGGCGATGCTTTCTTCTGAACGCTCGCTGCCCACCACAGCTCTCTGCAATGGGGAAGGAGGCTTTGCACTGAGCTTGCACCCAGAGCTGGTGCCCACAGTGCCCCCAGGAACCATCCTGCCTTTGCTCATCCTTTCCCTTTCCCGAGGTCCCCTGATTTGCTCATGTTGCAGAGAATGAGAAGGACAAAGTCCTTGGCTACTTATGTTTATAATTCTGCTTTGTTTGGGAGATGTTTTTGCAGTCTCAGGAACCATCTTTGCTTTTAGGAGCTGTAGCAAGCCAGCAAGCGCTTTGGGGCATACACTGCAAAATACCTGTTCCTGTGAGAAGAGCCAAGCTACTTGCATAGCCCTTCCCTCCGCTGGTACCTCCGCAGGCTTCTGCCTTGAGTGCGAGCTCGAGGGCCTGAAGGGACAGGACATGCTGGCACCTGGGACTCTGTCACAGCCAAGGTCTTTTGCAGCCTGAACTTTCAAGCATCCTGTGCAGAAAAGGGGCTCTGAGTGTTTGCTGATCCTGAGCTTGAACAGCTCCAGTGGGGCGGCGAGGGCTCAGGCCCCTGCCACTCAAAATGGTGGGGGGATCCCAGCAGCAGGGAAAGCTGCCCGTCATGGGCTTCTTCTTTCATTTCTTCTGTCCCACATCGCCTTTGCTCTGCTTGTGCTCTAAGATCACTGCAGAAGCTGTCAAATGGCCCCACTACACCAGCAGCGCATGAGATATTCCTGCAAAGGAACATCCTCATCATCTCAGTACATCCATCCCCAAACGCAAAGGGAGATGGCAGCTTCACCGGCCATTAGGGCCAAAAGCTGTTCTCACCTGCACTGATGAGGATCCAGCCTAGCTCCACCGGGCTCTGGCGTCTGCAGTGTTAATGCTGTTGTCTCGGCTGGCCTGTTCTCCTGCCTTGCCCCCAGGCCCTGAGTGCATGTCGGGAGTCCAGTTTGCTGGTTTTCCTCCTGTACCCTCGTGCCTCAGGGCTGGTCTGGCTGAGCCGTGGTAGACCACGGATGCTGGTGGGCCAACAGCAAATGGTGCTGCCTCGCATGGGCTGTCAGAGCAGCTGGCATCTCTGCTCCGAGACAGTAGAGAGCCACTGCGGCGCTAGGATTGGGCCATCCCAGGACCCTCAGGACTGTGCCCCAGAGCAGAGCCCAGGGTACGGGGAGGGAGGCAAGGCGGATGAGGAGAGATCCTCAGATCAGTCACGGGGCTCGGATCGCCCTTCTGCTTGTCCTTGGCAGAACGCGTATGTAAGTGCAGGCGGCGTGACCGGACCCTTCGAGTAGCTGAAGCGCCCGAACCACGTCCGCCCGAACCACAGCCACGTCAGCTTCTAGCGCCAGCGGGAGCCCGGGCGCCCC